CTTTAACGAATAACTGTGGCTATAATAATTGTGATATAATTATAATAATAATAATAATTATTATTATTATTATTATAAATAATAATAATAACACACTGTAATAATTGAGGAGGCATTAGCACAATTAGCACAACATTTCGTTAGGTAAGGGTCGAACATTAATTGGGAAAGCGTTATTTTATGTTACATGTTTATTATTGGAATTCCTAAACACTTTGCAATAAGGCTTAAATGTATGTCATAAGAGAATAGATCGAGATTAAATAGGACATTCAATTAACTTGGTATATCTGGGTTGCGTTTCGAAATAGAAACTTTTAAAATGAGATATTTCCAATGATCTGAGAATGCAACGCTTTTCGTCGGCATATATATTATTTTGATGAACTTTATTTTCAAGTAAAAATTATCGGGATAAAAACAGACAGTTCCTGTGGATTCCATTCATACAAGCACGAACGCTAGACGGGAGGGCCCGGTGGAGAGTTCACTCTAGCTCGAGTCCGATGCCAGCATATTGCAATGATGACGAGACGGCCAGTACATCTCTAAAACAATGCCGTCACACATTCGAAACGGGACTACTAGAGGCCAACTGACGTTTGACTTGGATGGCACACGCTTCAGACGTAGAGCAATCAATGTTCAGTATAATAAAACATTCATTGATCCGATCACACACATTTATTACAGATGGTAAATCGAGTGCGCATTACTATTAGAAGATAATTTGCATAACTTGATATATATATTATATGTGTGTGTATACTATATATATGACGAGGACTGTTCTGAAAATGAACCTGGAGAAATACGTAGAAGCTGCAAAGCAAGCTAAATGCTTCGTAACGAACTTTATCGGACATGAGAGTAATAAGCACCGCGGCGCACGTGGATTTTTATCCGACAGTACCGTCGATTTTATCGCCGGTAGCTTGTCGATATAAATCGCGCACGTGGCGCACCGCGCGAAATATCAACCGTGCTATCAGCGACCATACACTGTATGAACTGTACGTGACGTTCCAACACACCCAACGGCGCGCTCGCAATATTTGATCACGTGCTTCAATATCATGCAATTTGATATGGTTATCCAAAACTGTTGCCGGATCCATCCGCAGGCGGCGACATCGTAGCGATGTGACACTGGTGCAACAATATCAAACATGTTTGATATTTCCGCGACGAGTTTTCTGGCGTCAAAATCGCTGACGCCGGGCAGCGCACAGTGGCAGATATCTCGGCGATTTGTTGCTGGGGACAGAAATCGCGTTTCTCGACAAAAATCACCAGTGTGCGCCGGGCTTAAAGCGGGATAAGAAAATTTCGCCGAGCGCGCGCGGATTCCAAATCATTATTGTGGCCGCACAAGGCACGATTATATTTTACACGATGACGAGGATGAGCGATGAAGCGATGAAGCGATGAAGGGATGTGCCTAGGTGTGCGCGGGCCGTTTAAATTCGGCTCCATCGGCTCATGGTCATTGGTTTCAAAAATCAAACATGTTTGATTTGCGAATGCGATGTCACGCGATAAAAATCAAAAAAACTCGTCTACGAAATGAAACGCGCCACACTACATCTTCATCCGCTTCCATCGGCTTCATGCTTCATCGTTTGTAAAATCGGCTGGTGTGCGCGCCTTTATGGCGACGAGAACGTGAGCGACAACAACAGCAACAACAGCAGCAACAGCAGCAGCAACAACAGAGCAAACAACGCAACAGCGACAACAACAGCAACAACAGCAGCAACAGCAGCAACAACAACACCACAAAATTTCAGCCGGTTACAGACACTTGACGGACGGCCAAGGCACCATCGATCGTCTGATGGGAGATGCGCGTCCCTCCGGCCTGCACGCGTATTGCAAAGCACAGCAGCGCAACAGCAAACCTGCACCCCGCGGACGCTGCTATCGCTAGATCACAAAACATTTATAAATTTATAAAACTCGGCCTCGTAGCTTGATCGCCTGATTTACGGAACGTCTACAGCCGGACGTTCACAATATGACCGCCCCACCCACACGGTCACGACTAGAGTTTTGCGTGAAACTCGTAAATTATGAATATTTATTCTCTGTCATCGAAATATGGATACGAATGGTAGAGTTAGTAGTGGAGCGTTATTTACCGTCGAGAATATTTCAGAAGAGTGAGGAGACAGAGATAGAGAGAAGAGAGAGAGAGAGAGAGAGAGAGAGAGAGAGAAGATGAGAGAGAGAGAAAGAGAGAAGAGCAAAAAAAGGAGTGAGCGAGAGAGAGAGAGAGAGAGAGCAGAGAGAAAGAGCGAGAGAAAGGAGAGAGTGCAGACGACAGGACAGACACACACAACACACACAACACACACACACACCACACACACACACACACACACAACAACCACACCACCTCACACTACACAACACACACACACGACACACACACACACACACACACACACACACACACACACACACATACACACACACACCACACGCACACACACACAACACAGCAAACACACACAACAAGTAACACACACACACCACACGCACACACTACATCACACACACACAACACACACACACACGGTACACACACACCACAGCGAGAGAGAGAGAGAGTAGAGAGAGCACCGCGAGAGGAGAGAGAGAGCTCGCGTAATAGTTGGTGACCAGTCGCCGCATTCGCATGGTTAGCTGTTATGCCTAACACACAGTCAGCTGTTTTTAGTGGTTACCTTCGGTTTTATTTAGTTCAATCAGTAACTCGGATTTACATTGACGTTTTATACTGATACGGAAGGGCAGCACATCGACAGAAACCCTACATTTCATGACTCAACTATGTAATGATGAGCGACGGGCGCAGCTCTTGATCGACGTCCATAGGGTGTTAGGCTGGTCTGAAGATAAGGCTTCACGGATAAGTGACCAAAAATCAGGTTAAGGTTATCATACGATTATTAGATAAGCCTTATTTGTTTAATTTTCGCTCTAAAATCCTAGGGGCCAGCTTCCCTTGCTCCCCCCAGATGCGCTACGCCCTGCTTATTATTGCTCGTAGTGTCGGAACTTGTTGGTTTGTGGCCAGACATTTCCTTGTATGTATTTACACCGATCAGACTTATAAGACAAATATTTAATTGAATTTATTCTCTCTTCATTCTCTCCTGTGTGTGTGACACATGTTGTGTGTACCTTCCAGTCTCCTGGAGACAACGTCATTATACAGCGCGGTTCAATCACGTTGCAAGATATCTCGGTATTGTAGGCGTTCACACGAGGAAAAATAGAGTGCAAACAAAAATATCGTGATCTAAACAATTCGCGTATTTAGTGTAAATTACGAGGCCTTGTCCCATAGCGAGCCCAGCGAATAATTTTCCGCGCGCTTGAGAAATACCGGTTTCTGGACGCGCATTTCCTCGTGTGAACGCTAAATACCGGATTTTCTGAACGCGTATTTTATAGACTTGGTCCGGCGCTTCCGACAGTTCTAGTGTAGCCGCGTATTTTATAGACTGGTCCGCGCTCGAAACGTGTAACGCGAGTCCAGTCTACGTATTTTATCGGCAGTTGGTGCGCATTGCATTGTTTATTTCGCATTGTTCGCTCGATTGTTTAAAGCGGCTCGCAGTTCGCAAATACCGTATTTCTGGAGCCGCGAATCAGCGTGTGAACGCTCGGCCGCGTATATGTCTCAGATACGGTATTTCGCAAATCCGGTATTTCAGAAATACGAGGTCTCGTGTGAACGAGGCTATAAACTCCCTCACATGTCACACGGTTGGTCGCCTTCCGCTCCATTTCCGTCCAGGTGTTGCCCTTCTTCTTGAGTTCCGCCTCCGAATCTCGCCTCCAGGTTGCTTTAGGCCTTCCTACCCGACAACCCGGCGTTTTATTTTTACTATAGTTATTTTATTCTATTATTTACTAATAATAACTTAATAAAACTATAAACGATTCCTAGGACATCAATAGCTGACTGGTATTTTTTAACGTTCATCAGTTATAGACTATATTATTAAGAGCTCTTGATATTATCAGGAGTGAATAATAATAGATATTAGATATATTATAATATAGATATATAATAAATCTATTATTATTCACTCCTGATATTATGCTACAGGTCACCATAACGCATGCTCTAACGTTTTCTCCTTAGGGCGACAGTTGTGAAAAAATTCGATCAGATATGGCTCGGCATCACATCTGTAGAAATCACAGCAGCTTCAGAAACCACAACCGCCACCACTGCTAGCAATAGCGACCAGACCTCGGCCAGCGCTAGTGAGGAAACCATCATGGCTGCCAGCTCTAGTGGTGAAACGATCACCACTGCTGACAACTCTAGTGACCAAACCACCGTCACATCTGAGAGCTATAGTACGCGAACCACTATCTCTACTGCTGCGAGCGATACTAACGAAACCACGGAGACATCCAAAAGCACTGGTATGCAAACCACCACGACTGCTGCGAGCAATAGTAACCAACCCACCACATTTCAGAGCACTCAAACGACTACCACCGCTGCTAGCAATAGTCATCAAACAATCACCATTGCTGCCAGCACTAGCGACGAGACAGACCAATTCCTTAACACTTCTTCTTCCAATTCCACTTCGATGGGTACAGGCACCACGATGAGCACAGTTATTAGTAGCACAAGCATCACAACGACAGATGCTCTGGCTCCTCCGCTGGATATGCAAATAAGTTTGGACACATGTGGAGAGACAAAATCGTGCTTTACTTGGGTAATAAATCTCATCACCTGTTTGACGTTATGAATGGGCAGGGTCTAGCTAAACTAAGAATTAAAAGATTATTAATTTATATATTTAATAAATTTAATCAATTATTTATCTTATTAATCTAGGTCCAGGCTTTTTAAGACCAGAATGAACTTTAATATGACTACTTACTGTGGGTTAAATTATTATTATTATTATTAGCATTATCATTATATATATTTATTTATTTATTTATTTATTTATATACATCAATGGTTGCCTTCATAATTGCTTATATGGATCGCGTATAGCTCGATGGTTCATTTGCAGGGAGAAGCTAACTGCTTGTCAAACACATGCGAGCTTCTATTTACATATAAGGCCGATGCTACACATGCGACGATGGAAATATCAGCCGATACAACTGGCTATGCCGCAATAGGCATATCCAATGACACAAAAATGGTAGGGCAGACTAGCGGCAGGCTTCATATTATGTAAACGAATATCACATGCATACGTTATGTGCGAGAGCATAATACGCTCTATATCTACGAGAATACCTACTACTAAAACATGGTAGCAAAAGGTTTAGTTTTGCAAGGTAATGATATATATATATATATATATATATATATATCCACTCATTGTAGATTTAGATGTCGCGCCTTTCTGCTTATGACTATCCATATATTCTTGATGACACAACACAAGTATACAATAGTCCCCGTTTGATCGCGCCTCGGATAAACGGGCGCATCGCTTAAACGACATATCGTCTTTGAAAAACATATCCTTGCGAACTTTGTCGTGTGTTCGCCGGGACCACGTTAATCGAGACCACCGCTTAATCGGGACATCTTCGTACTTTCCGACCTCTCCCGATAAAGCGGTGGCCGCCGTTTTTCACTTTACCTGTAACAATACACCGACGTCTCTCATGCTCCCGATCCGCATTCTCTCGTCGTCAATACGAATATTCAACTATGCCGGCATGCTCTTGTGTCTGCAGGGTAATGACAATGTCTTCGCATGTATGAAGAAAGGAGCGCACATTTACCTGAAAGAGTTTAGGAATCCGGGCGGTTACAGGGCATCCGTACAACAGTTGAACAGTCTTGTTACGGATATACAGGTAATTATAGGAATACGATTCGCGCAAAGCAACCTTTGTTCACTCTAACACTAACCCTAACCCTAACGCACATTACCCCAACCCTTACCCTACCCCTACATCTAACTCCAAACCTAACCATAACCGAACCCTAACAGTAACCCTAACCTTAACCATGGCCCTATCCTAACCCTGACCCTAACCATAACCATAACTCTAACCCTAACCCTAACGCGCGTTTATTCGTTTGCTTGTCATTTCGTTTGTTGCTCATTTCATTTCAATGCCAGAGCGCTGTCGCTAGTGCTATTCCGTGAAAACTAACATTCTACTATCAGTCTTGAAATCAATTAAACTGTTGTACATTGCTGATCTAGGGTCCGCCGTCAGAAACAAAATTTGTCTTAACTTTACGATGCTTTTAACAACCGGTCCCTGTTTTTCTACCACGTGCAACTTTACGCCACGGTGACCTCATAATCGTCACGTGTATTTACAAACAGGCAGACAACGTGGATGGACGCATTAATTGCCGCTTTAGACGACCGTTGTCGAACGAGGGAGACACCGATCACCTTGATCTGACCTTGGACTATTATTTCTTCTTTACAACCGGAAAGGTGTCCAGTGGTACGTATAGGGGTGTCATACAGTCGAAGCCCCCTCCCCCGCATCCCTCAATCACAACGTTAGAGCTTAATAGTATATTCATAGATGTGATTCACACATGTGTTTGTATATATATATATATTATATATTTTATCTGGCAGGGTTGCTACATTGCTCTTTCAAAAAAGTAGACCTATAGGAGTATTCATACGAATTTTGGTGCTTGTCTCATCATTTGGAAGATGCTCCTGAAATATTCACTGGATATCTGCTGGACTATAAATAAAACCCATTGCGAAAAAATTACTGAAGCCCCTAAGTAATTTGAACTTTTGTATTAATTATGTTCGCAGAGGGAAACCTTCGTAAGCACGACGACAGTCCACACGTGACGGATGAGAAGCACAACCTCACCTTCACCCGAGTAGAAAAATTTATCGAGAAAAAACACAAATCGGCTGCAATGTCCTTTTGTCTGGAGCTTATTGTCATGTTTGTCGCGACTGTAGCCATAATGGAGTGCTGTTAAAGTTCGATTCAGGACTTAAAAACTGTTAGCATGTAGGCCTATTCGCTAATTTCTATACGAATGTATTTACTTAGAGCTGTTCTCCTATTGTTATTTATTGCTGCTGTGTCTGTATAAACTTGGTGCGGATGTGATATATTTACACATATCTCTATTAGCTAGATTATCGATATTCTGCACATTAATAGTAGAAGTGCGCGCTTTCGGCTCAGAATTGTAAGAAATATTTTTTACGAGTATTGTATGAATTGATTTCGACGAAGACTCCACTCTTTACTCATGCGGTAATTGTTCGTGGAACTGCCACCCTGCCTTATACGGTGTGCGATTTATCAAATTAGCAAACCATCTGTCGGTCTACAAAATAAGAACACAATTTCCGCAAACATTATATGGTTACACATAAAAGTACTAAACCGAAATGCGCAAAGGACGCGTAGTTTCTCAAAACATTGTGTATTTTCACAAAAACCTGTAGATGCTGAAAACGTTTTTCACATTCGTACGCGCACCTTTTATTAGTCAACTCTTCTGTGTCTCGACCTCTAGCAAACCACATCTGAAAGCACTTGGGTATATACATTGATAAATGTGTCATAGACATTGTGAATGCGAATATTTTGTAGCAGCCATTGTATATTGCATAGCATTCAGGGGCGGATCCAGGGCTGAAGCTAGACAGTATTTTTCCAGATTTTAAGGGCACATCCCCTAAAAAGGGCACACCACCCTACAGTGGGCGTCGTTCGGCGCGGAAGCACATGGCGGGGGGTCTGGGGGTCAAATTTCAAAATTTCAAGGGTCCCTGGGCACAAAAATGAGCACCATTTCAGCACACATTTAGTCAAGCAGCAATAGCTAAAAACCACCAGCAATTAATGCAGAATGATTCAAGCACTTCCCTTCTTTTTCAGATATTAAAGCTAGTTTTGTTACCTTGTAAAATTTTGATTTTCTTTAAGTCCTGTCAATGAATCAGAAGAAAAAGAAAACAAATAAAGAATATAGCCAAATTCCATCAAATTCTTTTCTGTATTTTTTAGCGCAAAATTTCGAAAAGCACTTTGAAATCTAGACCGTATTTCCCAATACGGCAAATACGGTCTGAATCCGCCCCTGGCATTTCACGAAACGGAATCGGGGGGGGGGTAACAGCGGGTTTTACTGAGGTATAAATTATTCATTAGCGAGCATATTCATAACACTAAAGTAAGTCATTGCACGTTTATAGTTAACCATACTGAACCAGGAGCATGTTTTTATTTTAAAGTAAGCCAATATTGGATTAGTGCAATAATATGTAAAAAGCTAAAGCGAGAATTTATAGTCGAGTTTCAAACCTATCATTTGATGAGTGATTAATATCAAATGAAGACTTGTGGCAGCGCACAAAACAAGAGAGACTTGAAGTCACCATCAGGCGTAGAAAGTGGAAATGGGTTGGTCATACGCTCAGAAAACCTGCGAGTAACATCACACGATATAGTCCCTGGAGTGGAATCCACAAGAAGCTCGGAAAAGAGGCAGACCGAAAAAGTCACGGAGAAGGACCATCAGACAGGAATATGAAGAGATTGGAATGTCTTGGGAACAAGTGAAGTGGACAGCTCAAAACCGAGTCCGATGGAGGAAGCCTGTGGAAGCCCTATGCTCCGGTCGGAGCGAAGAGGATTGATGATGATGATGATGATGATGATGATGATGATAATGATGATGATGATGATGATGATGATGATGATGATGATGATAATGATGATGATGATGATGATGATGATAATAATGGTAATGATGATAATGATGATGATGATGATGATGATGATGATGATGATGATGATTTAGAACTATCTGTTGATCACTTCGGGCTCAAAGAGGATAGGTCATTTGCCGCGTATAAATTTGTCGCCAATCGCCGAGTACTTAAATTTTGTGAAGTTGTTGATATAAATGGCTGTACATGAAATACCATCCGCACAAAAGTACCTCTCGCACCTAACAAGTCTTAGGTAATTATCGCATTGCCCACGTCGAATGGGTGCTTGAACTTTTGTAATCAAAAGAGGCTAGTCCGTATGTATATCGCTCGTAGCGAAAATTACAGCGCCCTCTATATAACGTTCGGCAGGATTTGATTGATCCCATTATTTACACGAATCATATCGTTCTAATTCTATCGTTCTCGCGCGTCCCTTATAGCAAATAGTGTTGTTATACATATTAGTTGTTCCTTTCAAAACTAAACGCTACCAGAAACTCATTCTAACCACGAGGAGTAAAGCATGACCAGTATCAAACACTACTGGGGAGGTCCCTTTTTTAAATATTACTATTTGACAATGTTGTTTCAGCGATTGCGGGCTTTATAAAATTCTGTATGAATGTATAATATTGCCTTTACGAATTCTTGTTTCTGTTTGTACGTACAGATCCGCACATATCAATATGTATAAAGTATAAATAATCAAGTGTGCGCAAACAAAACGTGCCATTGAGTTGGAAAAGGATAACGCATTCCCCTTTCCCCCTTGTTCCTCGCACAGCCAGTTCCTCTTTCTTCTACCACCCCTCAGCGATCTTCCCTGCCGCCTTTCCTTAGTCTCCCACCCCTCTCTGTCAGCAAGCTATATTGTGCATGCAGTTTTCTTCAATCCGTACTACACGCCTGAAACGGTGCTCGCGCATGCGCAATATCTCCCGAAAAGAAAAATATTTTACGAAAATGTTGCATTTAAGATGGGGAGGAGGTATTCTACCATAGATTCATATCATAACATTCCATCAGTAGCCCTCTCTCAAGAAATAGGAAGAGGATCTTGCATGTAATGTTCCCGCTACATATACTAGTCAGTACACAATCTGGCTACGTTAGTGTGTTAGCGCTTGCGCAATATCTCACCGGAGTTATATTTTGTGATGAATATGCATTTAATCTGGTAAGGGGGTATCTCAGCATAGATTTATGTAATAAAATTTTACCAGTACGCCTGTATATATAATTAGGAGAGCGCCCTAGCCCATAGGGTGCAAAACTCTTACTTCGTCCCCTCCCGTCCTGCCTCTTGCCTCCCATCTCCCTCGCTCAGCCTACATATTGTTCTACCGCCACACAACTATCTTTCCTGCCCCCTTTCCTCAGTCTCCTACCCCTCCCTCTCTCTCAGCCAGCTATATTATGCAGTTTTTATCAGTCCGTACTGCACGCCTGAAATGGTGCTCGTGCGTGCGCAATATCACCCGAGAAGAATAGTATTTTGCAAAAATTATTGCAAATTATTGCAAATTATTATTGCAAAATTATTGCAAATTATTAATGCAAAATTATTGCAAATTATTGCAAATTATTATTGCAAAAAAATGGAGAGGAGGTATTCCAGCATAGGAAGAAGACCTTTCATGTAATGTGCCCGCTGCATATACCAGTCAGTACACAATCTGGCTACATTAGTGTGTTAGCGCATGCGCAATATCTCACCAGAGGAGTTATATTTTCGGATGAATATGCATTTAATATGGTTAGAGGGTATCTCAGCATAGATTTATGTAATAAAATCTTATCAGTACGCCTGTGTTTATAATTAGGAGAGCGGCCTAGCCTGTAGGGTGCAAAACTCCTACTTCGTCCCCTCCCGTCCTGCCCCTTGCCTCATCACTTTGCATTTAAAATGGGGAAAGGGTATTCTACCATAGATTCATATCATAATATTCTATCAGTAGCCCTCTCTTAAGAAATAGGACAAGGATCTTGCATGTAATGTGCCCGCTGCATGTACCAGTCAGTACACAATCTAGCTACGTTAGTGTGTTAGCTCTTGCGCAATATCTTACCAGAACAGTTATATTTTTTGATGAATATGCATTTAATCTTGTAAGGGGGTATCTGAGCATAAATTTCTGCAATAAAATCTTATCAGTACGTCTGTGTTTATAATTAGGAGAGCGCCCTAGCCTGTAGGGTGCAAAACTCCTACTTCATCCCCTCCCGTCCTGCCCCTTGCCTCCCATCTCCCTCGCTCAGCCTACATATTCTTCTACCGCCACACAACTATCTTCCCTGCCCCCTTTCCTCAGTCTCCCACCCCTCCCTCTCTCTCAGCCAGCTATATTATGCAGTTTTCATCAGTCCGTACTGCACGCCTGAAAGTGCTCGCGCATGCGCAATATCACCCGAGAAGAAGAATATTTTGTAAAAAATTTTGCATTTAAAATGGGGAGGGGGTATTCTACAATAGATTCATATCATAATATTCAATCAGTAACCCTCTCTTAAGAAATAGGCAGAGGACCTTGCAAGTAATGTGCCCGCTGCATGTACCAGTCACTGCAGTCAGTACACAATCTGGCTACGTTAGTGTGTAATTAACGCATGCGCAATATCTTACCAGAACAGTTATATTTTTTGATGAATATGCATTTAATATGGTTAGAGGGTATCTCAGCATATATTTATATCATAATTTCTTATCAGTACGCCTGTGTTTATAATTAGGAGAGCGCTCTAGCCTGTAGGGTGCAAAACTCCAACTTCATCTTCTCCCGTCCTGCTCCTTGCCTCCCATCTCCCTCGCTCAGTCTACATATCCTTCTACCACCACACAGCTGTCTTCCCTGCCTCCTTTCCTCAGTCTCCTACCCCTCCTTCTTTCTTAGCCAGCTATATTATGCAGTTTTCATCAGTTCGTACTGCACGCCTGAATTGGTGCTCGCGCATGCGCAATATCTCCAGAGAAGAAGAATATTTTGCGAATATTGTGCATTTAACATGAGGAGAAGCTATTCTACCATAGATTTATATCATAACATTCTACCAGTAGCCCTCTCTTAAGAAATAGGACAAGGATCTTGCATGTAATGTGCCCGCTGCATGTACCAGTCAGTACACAATCTAGCTATGTTAGTGTGTTAGCGCTTGCGCAATATCTCACCAGAGGAGTTATATTTTATGATGAATATGCATTTAATCTGGTAAGGGGGTATCTCAGCATAGATTTATGTAATAAAATCTTATCAGTACGCCTGTGTTTATAATTTGGAGAGCGCCCTAGCCTGTAGGGTGCAAAACTCCTACTTCATCCCCTCCCGTCCTGCCCCTTGCCTCCCATTTCCCTCGCTCAGCCTACATACTCTTCTACCGCCACACAACAATCTTCCTTGTCCCCTTTCCTCATTCTCCCACCGCTTCCTCTCTCTCAGCCAGCCATATTATGCAGTTTTCATCAGTCCGTACTGCACGCCTGAATTGGTGCTCGC